TAGGTACAATGATAATTCTCAGGATAAGTTTCTTCCTGGTTTTGTTGTGTATCGAGCTTTTATCTTCTTCATACGCTGCAACAGACTCGAACACGTATGTGGTCCACATGGACATGTCCAGAATTGAATCTTTAAACAATTTCCCTCCAAAATCTCCCGAAAAATGGTACGAACAACTAATCGAGTCCATCAACATTGCCTCAGAAGATATAAGTCCAAATGCTCAACTCCTCTATGTTTACGAGGACATAATCTCAGGCTTTTCGGCAAAACTCTCCACAAAACACCTCAGATCCTTAAAAAAAGTCGATGGCTTCCTCTCCGCCACCCGGGACGAACTACTCCAACTCCACACGACACACTCCCCTCGTTTTCTCGGGCTTCAGGAGAAAACGGGACTGTGGAGTTCCAAAAATCTGGCCCAAGATGTAATTATCGGGATAATCGATACAGGAATATGGCCCGAGCACCTGAGTTTTTCTGGGTCGGGCCTACCTCCCGTGCCTTCCCGCTGGAAAGGTAAATGCCAGCCGGGCCCGAAATTCCCTGCCTCGAAATGCAACAGAAAGCTCATTGGCGCTGGCGCATTTTACAAAGCGTACGAAGCCATTGCCGGAAGAATAAACGAGACGTTAGATTACAGGTCGGCTCGCGACTCTCAGGGCCACGGCACGCATACTGCTTCAACCGCAGGTTCATTAAACTTTCACTTTTTCGCGCTTAAACGATAAACTTCTTTCTAATTGCATGTTATTATAAACCTGCCAGGTGGCAATCTAGTAAAAGGCGCCAACTTTCTAGGCCTGGCCAAGGGAAAAGCTGCTGGCATGAGGTACACGGCTCGACTGGCGGCATACAAAGCATGTTACACGTTGGGGTGCACGAGTTCCGATATATTAGCTGCCATGGAGAAGGCATTGGCAGATGGTGTAGATATTCTGTCACTCTCTTTGGGAGGTGCGCCTAAGCCATATTATTTGGACAATATTGCCATTGGAGCATTTGGTGCCGTGCGTAGAGGAGTTAGCGTTGTTTTGTCGGCTGGGAATGGAGGCCCGTTTGGCGGTACAGTCAGCAATGCAGCCCCGTGGATGATGACAGTTGGCGCCAGCTACACGGACCGCCGGTTTTTTACCCGAGTCCGGTTGGGTGACGGGCGGGTTTTCACGGGCTCCTCGTTGTATACGGGCAAACCAACTAAGATGTTACCATTGGTAAAATTTGAATGCTTTTATTTATCCAGGCTGAAAAGTCGAGCAAATCAAGAACCATCGGGCCGAAAAAGGCTCAAATTTTCACCAAAAAAGACTGTGCTTTTTCCTTAAATCAAATCCCCTGCAGGTGTATGGAGAAAGCAGAGAAGCCCAGCTTTGCACCAGCAGCTCCCTGTCTCCAAAACAGGTCGAGGGCAAAATCGTCATTTGCGACAGAGGAGGAGCCAACGGCCGAGTCTCGAAAGGCGAAGTCGTGAAGTCGGCCGGTGGGGCCGGCATGATCCTCGCCAACGACCAAATCCGAGGCGAAGAACTCTTCGCCGACCCGCACATTCTACCCGCCACGTCACTCGGAGCATCCGCATCGAATGCCGTCAAAAGTTACACGTCATCATCATCATCGTCATCATTCCCCACGGCCGCCATTGAGTTCTTGGGCGACGTGTACGAAAACCGAGCGCCTGTCATGGCCGCATTCTCCTCCCGTGGGCCCAGCCTGGTCGGGCCCGACATCGTCAAGCCCGACGTGACTGGCCCGGGAGTGGACATCCTCGCCGCATGGCCCGAGAATCTCAGCCCAACTGAGCTCGACTCGGACAAAAGGCGCGTTCGGTTCAATATACTTTCCGGAACTTCCATGTCGTGCCCCCACGTGAGTGGGCTGATCGGGCTTTTGAAGTCCGTGCACGCCAGCTGGTCACCGGCCGCGTTGAAATCGGCCCTGATGACAACGGCCCGGGCCCACGACTCGATGAACGGGCCCATTTCCGATGCGGCGTTCAACGGGTCGGGTTTTGCGGGCCCGTTTGAATTCGGGTCGGGCCATGTGGATCCGGAGCAGGCTTCTGATCCGGGCCTGGTTTACGATATCTCGACCGAGGACTATCTGGATTACTTGTGCAGCCTGAACTACACCTCTGCACAAATCAGGGTTTTTGCTGGTGGGGCTGCATTTGCTTGCTCTGATAAGCCTCCTAGTGACTTAAACTACCCTTCTTTTGCAGTAAATTTAAGTAAAAACGGTGGGAATTTTACTGTGGCTTACATGAGGAGGACAGTTACAAATGTTGGGAGTAAAGAGAGTTATTATTCTGTGAGGGTGGTTGAGCCAGATGGGGTTCATGTTGTTGTTCAGCCTGAAGTTCTTGAATTTAGAGAATTAGGAGAGAACTTGAGTTATAGTGTGAGTTTTATGGCACAAAGAGGTGAAGGGATTAATGTTGTGTATACAGATTTTTCATTTGGGTCTTTAGAGTGGGTTTTTGGCAGGTATTCTGTTAGGAGTCCTATTGCTGTGACTTGGCTGTGAGATGTTATTGTTGTGGTTTTCATTGTTTGGAACTTTGGAGTAACTATTTTGTCTATCTTTATGTACAAGAGGTGAAGTGGAATGTTTGAGAATTAGGAGGTGTTTTTGCATTATTTTACATAATATTTGAGTAATGATTGTGAAGCTTTGTTATGAATGAGGGGATATGACTATTCTTGTTCAAGAATTGTGTGTTCATGATTGAGGATACAAGTTATAAATTCCTATTATTTCACATAATATAAAATTGACACAACATGGTATCACAGTGGTATTACTTTATACATTATATTGTTTTTAAAACCAATAACTATTAAACTTACGTCTTAATTTATTGTCATCCTCTATATTAGTAACATTTAATTGTATATAAAAATGTCATACTCTAACAAAAAAACATGAATAAAGATTTCATTTCAATCAAAATATTTATTTTTGTTAAAATATATGACGGATTCAATGATTAAATAGTCTCGTACAAAAATTTGTGAATAATCAAATATCTAAAAGGATTTTATATGCCTTTTCTTGAGCAACTACTTACCCCTACACCTCACATTTTTCTTGCAAGAAGCTTCGTTATAACGTGGACTTGCACAGTTGCACCAAGGAAACCTGAAAATCAAGTATATAAAAAAATAAATAAATTAAAATCACCAAAGAGGTAGCTTCACGTATAAGCGTGTTTGGGGAAATCTGCCGGAATTCGTCCAAACAAAACGTAATTATTCAGACCTGAAAACAACCCTTTAAAGTTGAAATGTTGAATTCATATTGATCCAATTTTATTTATTCATTTATTTATTTCTATTTTCTACCAAGAAAGACATCCTCGTTAATCAGATTCATCTGATTTCTTATTTAATCTTGGATTCGCTTCATTCTACAGAACGCTGATTTCTCGGATTTTCAGGAATAACAGGTAAGTTAAATCTTCTCCCTTTTTTCTCCATGTCTGTCTTGCGCCGGACCAGCTTTTTTAAGGATCCGAGCTCAGAAAAGACATCATCTTTTTGGATTAATCGGATAAACAGAGATGCCCATTTGATTTTTTTGCTCAATCTGCATTTAATAACATTTTTCAGCTGATATTTCAGGTGAAAAGTATCATGTATTTGATTAATGATATGTTTCAGGTGAAAAAAAAAAAAAATCGTGTCTTGGATCGAACAAGAGATGTCAATTTGATGTTTTTGCTCAATCTGCATTGAATCACATTTTTCAGCTGATATTTCATGTGGAAAGTATCATTTATTGGATTAACGATATGTTTCAGGTAGAAAAAGATCGTTTCTTGGATCGAACAAGAGATGCCCTTGTGATAAAAATGCAGTCTTTTACACAACTTCCCCATATGATTGAGTTCTGATCCTCAATCANCTCACCCATTCGCCCACTCCCCTTCCGGCCACCTGAACTACCCTTACCCTCCCCTTTCCGGCCACCCCCCACCGGATTATGGCCCTTACCCTCCTTACCAGTACCCGCCTTACTCGGGCCCACATTCTCATCCTCCTGCCCAGGCCCAGCCCACCCTCCAGACCTACAGCAGCTTCCAGGGCTCGTTCCACTACCTCAACCACCAGCTGTCGGGCCAGCTTCACCCTCCCCCCGACTCTCAATCCGAAGTGGGCCCACCGAGGCCCAATAACAACGATCCGCCCTCCATTTCCGAATCGTCGGTGAACAATCATTCTCCGAACTACCCCTCCATTTACCCGCCCATCGACGACCAGATTTCGGGCCTTCATTTATCCGAAAGCCCGAGCAAACCGTCCGCCCCAGCCTCTCCCCCGGCCCCTTCAGCCGACCCCCCTCAGAAATTCCACTCGGGCCCACTACCAATGACCGGCAGCAACCATCACAGGCCCGGGACATTTCCCGGGCTCCAAAGTAACTCCTTCTCGGGCCCAACGGGCCGAATGGAGTTGGGCTTCGGCTTGGGCTCGCAAGACAATGTCCCGTACAGCGGTAACAACATGCAGCTCGTGCATGTCCCGTCACTCAAGACATCTCTAAAAGTTCTACTTCTGCACGGGAACTTGGACATTTGGGTGCACGAAGCTAAAAACCTCCCGAACATGGATATGTTTCACAAGACTCTTGGAGACATGTTCAATAAGCTTCCGGGCAATGTGGGCAGCAAAATCGAGGGGCAGATGAACCGGAAGATCACGAGCGACCCGTACGTATCGATAACGATAATGGAGGCCACGCTTGGGAGGACTTACGTTATAAGCAACGACGAGAATCCCGTCTGGAATCAGAACTTCATAGTCCCTGTGGCCCATAGTGCGGCCGAGGTTAATTTCGTCGTGAAGGATAATGATGTGGTGGGGTCGCAGCATATAGGGACTGTGTCAATCCCTGTCGAGCATATATATGGAGGGGGTACTGTTCAGGGGTTTTTCCCCATTCTTAATGCGAGTGGAAAACCGTGCAAGGCAGGGGCTGTTTTGAGCCTCTCGATACAGTATTACCCGATCGAGAAATTGAGTGCTTATCGTAATGGGATTGGGGCGGGTCCCGATTATGTGGGCGTTTTGGGTACGTATTTTCCTCTCAGGCGAGGTGGGTCCGTGACACTGTACCAGGACGCGCATGTACCGTCAAATTCCCTCCCGAACCTGAAGCTCGACAACGGGATGCATTATATTCACGGGAAGTGCTGGCGTGATATATTTGACGCGATACGGCACGCGCGTCGGTTGATTTATATCACGGGGTGGTCTGTGTGGCATAAAGTTAGGCTCGTTAGGGATGATAATTCGGTGTCTGATTATACGTTGGGCGAGCTTTTGAAGTCGAAATCGCAGGAAGGAGTGAGGGTGCTGCTGCTCGTGTGGGATGATCCTACGTCGAGAAGCATACTGGGATACAAAACCGTAAGTTCTTGAATTGTGATGTAAAAAAAAAAAAAAGTTAGGATCTTCCTTGCATCAGTCACCTTCCGGCACTTTAAATGGTGAAAACAAAAGTCTTAGTTCCGATGGAGGTTTTTGTGCGGTCATTTTTTTGCATTATATGTTTGATTCTATTGTTTCTGTCTAGCAAAGAGAGATTGATGTATGCTTGTGAACAATAGGCTTACAGCTTATCAGATGTTTCCCTTTTCTTGTGAATGTATAGAATAATTCTTAGCATGAGATTCTCTATTATGTAGTATATTATGTAGTACATGCTCATTTGATTATTGATTTTTTAACTATTTAGTTAATTTTCTTTTATCATGGGTAGCATTGAAGCTTTTAGTGCCCTGAAAACACAGATCCTAGAGCAACTCTTCTTTGCAGTTTGGAGCTATTTTATCTCCCTATTCACTTGCCCTTAATTGCGTTTTCTTTTTTTTCAGGATGGAGTCATGCAAACTCATGATGAAGAAACTCGCCGTTTTTTCAAACATTCTTCTGTTCAAGTGCTGCTTTGTCCTAGAGTGGCTGGAAAGCGTCACAGTTGGGTAAAGCAGAGGGTATGGTTTCTGATGAATCAATTTATATCTCTTAGTTTTAGTTTCGTTTTGTAGTATGTTCATTTCAAAGGCATTAGAAATTTGTTGTGTAAAATTTCATTATGTATTTCTTTTAAGACTGCTTTTCTAAATCCCGCCTTATTTTCAAGAGTTCGGTTGACCTTGCGTTTGATTGATACGTCTAATGACTTCAAAATTAATCACGAGGTCATCTGAATTAAAATTTCCGATTCGTGACAAAAAAAGAAAAATATACATGGGATTTAATTTATTATTGCAAATTCGTGATTAGGAAGTTGGGGTCATTTACACGCACCACCAGAAAACTGTTGTGGTCGATGCTGATGCAGGAAACAACAGACGAAGAATTATAGCTTTCTTGGGAGGGCTCGATTTATGTGACGGCCGATATGATACTCCCGAGCACCCTATATTTAGAACTCTGCAAACTTTGCACTCAGATGACTATCACAACCCAACTTACGCGGTACTTTTAATTATTTTTCGTTTTTAATATCCAGTGCATGTAATATTTGTGTAAATGCACAATTACTACTCAAAAATATTTCTTTAGGTGTTTCAAATTTTGAGCTTTTCAAGTTTATTACATCTTGAACAGGGAAATGTGGCTGGTTGTCCGAGAGAACCATGGCACGATCTGCACAGTAAGATTGACGGGCCTGCAGCATACGATGTTTTGTCTAATTTCGAGGAGCGGTGGCTAAAAGCCTCAAAGCCTCACGGGATTAAAAAACTCAAGATTTCGTACGATGATGCTTTGCTTCGGATAGAAAGAATGCCCGAAATATTGGGATTGTCCGATGCTCCATGCGTGAGTGACGAAGATCCTGAGGGTTGGCATTGCCAGGTGAAAAAAAAAAAAATCGATTTTTTCGTTTTTTTAGCTTTAAATGTGGGAAAAAAGAATATGTTACTTTTTTTCATAATGTGTTTTAATTTTTCAGATTTTCCGTTCCATTGACTCGAATTCTGTCAAAGGCTTCCCAAAGGATCCTAAAGAGGGGACAATGCGGGTGAGAAATTAGAATAATAATAGTAAAATGACGATATTTGATTTTTTGTTTGTCAGGGTTTTTAATTTTTATTGTCCTTACAATATTTTGATTATTATATTATATGATACAGAACTTGGTATGTGGAAAGAATGTTCTTATAGACATGAGCATTCACACGGCATATGTGAAGGCCATTCGTGCTGCACAACACTTCTTATACATTGAAAATCAGTATTTCATCGGGTCATCATACAATTGGAACCAATACAAAGATGTCGGTAAGAATCTTTTTTTTTTTTTCCACCACTTTTTCTTCTTTTTGTCATTTTATTTTAATATACAATCATTCCACTTCAGGTGCTAATAATTTGATCCCAATGGAAATCGCGCTAAAAATAGCCGAAAAAATAAGAGCCCATGAGAGATTCGCTGCTTATATCGTCATACCTATGTGGCCGGAAGGCAATCCTACAGGAGCCGCCACACAGAGGATCTTATTCTGGCAGGTTTGCACCGAAATAGATAAAAGTGATTAATATTGTAAAATGAATGTCGATATGCTGTAAATACAGTTACTTTAGTTAACCTTGCAGTTTCATTTGGACTAGCGTTGATTGATATATTTCTTTATTTTTATATTTTATTTTTTTTCGGTCGTGTCCAGAATAAGACAATGCAAATGATGTATGAAACTATATACAAAGCTTTGGTGGAGGTCGGGCTCGAGGATGCTTATTCGCCGCAAGATTATTTGAATTTTTACTGCCTTGGAAATCGTGAGGCTGTCGAAGCTAATGATTTTTCTGAGACTCAACCTCCCACAAATAATCCTCAGGTATTTCTGCTCCCCAGTATNTAGACCTACTTCTATATTTACAGAAAAATATTTTAACTCCACTTCAAAGATCAAGATTTATTATGTTTTGTTCATTTATTTATAATTTATTTATTTCGAATTTCAGGGACTCAGCCGAAAAAACCGTAGATTCATGATTTACGTTCACTCGAAAGGGATGATTGTGGACGATGAGTATGTGATATTGGGGTCTGCAAACATTAATCAACGCTCTATGGAGGGCACTCGAGACACTGAGATTGCAATGGGAGCCTATCAACCTCACCACACGTGGGCTCGAAAACTATCGAGCCCTCAAGGACAGGTTAACCATTTCGTATTCTAATCAATACCATAGATTTTTATTTTAATTTTTCATTTTCTTGTTTTGTCTGATGATAAATGCATACATTCAGAAAATCTTCCGAAAAGCAAATCAACCGACTAATAATCAACAGCATTCTTGATTTTTCAACATTTTCTTTGCCAAATACCAAATCTTGTTATTTTGTATAGATTTACGGATACAGAATGTCTTTATGGGCCGAGCATCTTGGGTTCTTGGAGGAGTGCTTTACTCGGCCCGAATCCCTTGAATGTGTTCGGCGTGTAAGGTCAATGGGGGAGACTAACTGGGAACAATATGCATCACCCGACATAACAGAGATGAGGGGACATTTACTTAAATACCCTGTCGAGGTTGACCGACAGGGAAAAGTCAAACCTCTTCCGGGTAGCGAAACTTTTCCGGACGTCGGTGGGAATATAGTCGGCTCGTTTCTTGCGATACAAGAAAATCTAACTATTTAAGGTAATGTACAAAAACTCAACAATGGATATCTCAGTTTTTTTTCTGTACTGTTGTATAGAGAATGGTTGGTGGTGAGTAAAAGGCCATTTTTTCTGCTATTTGTAAAGTTTTGTTGTTCTTGATATGTAATTGTGGACTTGGACACAAATTCTGTATATATTATTGTGATCTTGTTTTGTTTGAGCAAGTTGGATGATGTAAAATCTTTTTCCTGTTCTTGTGGAATTTTTGAGACAATTAATACACCATGGATTTTTTATTTTATTTTTAAAATTTTTGGTTTTAGCCATCTTATTGGGGATTGATCCTTTGGTGAGAATGATGTCCCTTTTCAATTACTAATAGCCTTTATGACACTATGATTTGTATACACCTAATAGTATGTTCAGGGAAATTCCACATCAATGTTATTTTAGCTTTAATTGTTGTGACTTATGGACAATCACATTAATCTAAAGCTACTGTTAACTGTTAAGCCAGACTTGAGATAGTCATTCTTTATCAACGTACTTTCATACTTCAATTTCATAATCTAAAAACCTGGAAAATACACCATTTCCTAGCATAGACTTGCATTTTCATTAAAAAAAAATGACAAATCGAACGTAGAATTAGCCATTTTAGACTAAATTTGTGTTGCTGCAAGAGGTGATTGAAAAAATAAAATCCTTGGTTTTTTTTAGAAAAAAATAGATTATCTTCATTATTGACAACCACATAAAGTTTTGAGCATTGATTAGTTTTGTTTTTGCACCTCAAGCCAAGTGATGGATATGTTGGAAATACAAAATTGCAGTCAATTTTTATTTTTATTTTTTATTTTTTTCTTTTCTATTGCTTTATCTTCACACGATAATAATAATAATGTGATGTGGGGATAGTTTCAGCTGGAGCATTTGGAAATTGAGCCCCAAACAGAAAATCCGTACAACAATACCCCATTGCAGAGTGGAAATGGGCCCAATCAAAGTGGACCTCGTCCTTCACGGGTTTTGCTATGGATAAGCTGGTACAGAAATAGGGCCCAATGACCTGTATTTTCAAAATTAAACTAGAGATATTGAATTATCCATGCTCCAAAACATTATATCATGGTCATTGGACATTTAGTTCATAATAGATACATGATTGTAGTTTGTGATGACTAATATACCCTTGAAACTATTGTTTCCATTTAAAATAATGGATGTAAAAAGATAATTACATCATAGTCCAATTGATATAGCACAATCTGAACCGGAGCTCTTATATAGCTCTGTTCTAGACCGAAGCTCCCTTAGCTTGACTTAGAGGCAACAAATCGGGCAAATCAAGGTGGGTTCTTAAGAGCTAGAGGTCATATCACTTATGAGTTATCTCACATCGTTCATACATGGAAAATAGACCCACCTTATAAGTCTAATGGGCTATTCCTCCTTCCACCAATTGGTTTTGGGATGGAACCTCATTTGGGTTTCATATGGGCTTTTCCCGTTCTCTCATGGTACGCTTCATGATAGTGGACCCGCACCCATTTACCCCCAGTTTCTGTCATGGTATCAGAGCCGGTTCTGTTGGTGACCGTGCGATGACGTACCCGTCACCCAGCTAGTTGGGCTTGAGCTTTTTGAAGGACTTACAAGTGAAGTGGCATGTTAGAATATCACTTGTGAGTTGTCCCACATCGTTCATACATGAAAAATAGACCCACCTTATAAGTCTAATGGGCTACTCCTCCTTCCACCAATTGGTTTTGGGATGGAAACTCATTTGGGCTTCATATGGGCTTTCCCGTTTTCCCATGTTGTGCTTTATGATAGTGGGTCTGCACCCATTTTCCTTCAGTTTCTGTCATGGTATCAGAGCCAGTTCTGTTGGTGACCGTGCAATGACATATCCGTCACCCAGCCAGTTGGGCTTGGGCTTTTCGAAGGACTCACAAGTGAGGGGGCGTGTTAGAATATCACTTGTGAGTTGTCCCACATCCTTCATACATAGAAAATAGATTCACCTTATAAGTCTAATGGGCTACTCCTCCTTCCACCAATTGGTTTTGGGATGGAACCTCATTCGGGCTTCATATGGGCTTTTCCCGTTTTCTCATGGTGCGCTTCATGATAGTGGGCTCGCACCCATTTTTCCCCAATTTCTGTCAGAGTTATCGACCTAGGGCCTAGGCGATCCGAGTTCTCGGATTGCAAGTTGGTACAAGATGGCCATATTTGGCTCCAGAGGAGTACCTCTAACCTGAATGAGTAATCTAATGAACTGGTAGAGACGTGAATCACAAATCTAATGAAGGTATGATTGTGAAGATTCTAAGAATCTAAAAGATATGAAGGAGATGTATTGCAAGAATCAAGAAAGTATTTTGTATATCCAGTCTAGTTTCCTTAAGATGATATGAAGGAGATGTATTGCAAGAACTCAAAAAAGTAATTTGTATATCTAGTCTAGTTTCTTTAAGATGATAAAGTTCACTAAGGGACAAGGTAATTGTTATCTTATAAAATTAGGGGTATGATTACCACGAGGAGCTGAATTAATGGTCGGGGCCTCTAGGTTGAAATATCTCCCGATGCGTTTTCAAGTACTAAAATGAGAAGGTCAAACGAGATTCGGAGATCCAAATAAAACCAAACACTTATACAATATAGTTAAATAGTATCAAGTAAATAAATTATTGAGAACAAATATCTTGTGATAATTTTTTATTTTGTATTTTGAAAAACGGTACATTCATTTAAACAATTATATTATATTAATTGTAAAATGGTTGTTTGATATTTTTTTCGAAATTTTGAGAATTTGAAAATGTTTAAACTGGAGGGTTATGTTATTTGTTGAAGTTGGGTGGGTAATTGGGTATATCATTAGATGACATCAGTATGCCTTCTGACATATATTGATATTTTGCAATAAAAATTATACTCTTTATTTTAGAAGGTATAACCATTTTTTTACTTGCATAATTGAAGTCCTAAATCATTATAATACCACTTTGGTTTTAAATCTAACAAGTTAGTTCGTCCATAAAAATTTTCCATCAAACATAATACCCAGAAGAAAAAGATAATGCGCAAATTCACACACCCAATTACAAATTCAGTACAATCAAGATTTNGGTACAACAGTACAATCAAGATTAACGACCCTACTCACTCAATCTAAATAACAACACTCGAAAATTTGGGATCAGCAAACCATCTGAATAAGCCCATTAACGCGCCACGTCTCTCTTGGAGCCCACCCAAAGAAAAGGACAGGCAACCTTTTCCCACCTCTCCTTTTTTCCTCTGCTCCACCACTGGATTAAAAACAAGGGCCCACTCGAGGCGGCTGCACCCAAAGCCCACGGGCCCCACCACCACAACCACAAACAACGTGTGGGCCCCAACCGTACCCTGCTACACCCCAAAATGTCAGTGGGCCCTACGGCCAACAACAACCGGCCAACCCTAAACTTTGGGCTGCCAGCTAACCCAGCCCAGCCGCAGCCGCATCCGCCAATGCCGGAAGCTGAAAATTCGAAAAAAATGTCAGTTAATTCTCTTCGCCGACACGGTTTTCTTGTCGTGGATTTCCCAGGAAAGCATGTGAGTCTTGGCCGTCGCCTGCTGGTTGCTGCTCGAGCTCGGCCGGTCGGCCATGAACACGCCGGAGCTCGAGCTCTGAAACGACTGCATGTTGATCTGGGTCACGTGCTGCGCGACGGTGACGCCGCTGACGGAGGGCTGCTGCATGGCCGCAGCGGCGGCGAAGGGAAAGTTGACCACCGCCGGCGCCGCCCCGCTCAGGGCCGCCGGCTGGATGGCCAGGACCTGCGTGTTATGGTTCGTCGGGATGATGAGGAACGTCGGCGTCGGGGGCGCGTTTGGGCTCGACGACGTCACGGCGGCCGGGATGGCCCACATGGCGGGGATGGGGACCACCGACATTAACGGAGCCGTGACAGTGGCGTTGTTGCCGGAGATAATGGCGGAGTTATTACCGGTCGCCATGGAGAAGTAATTGCCGCCGCGGGCGGCGGTTGATGGGGGTGGCGCGTGAGAAACGGCCGCGTTCACGTCGATGAGCTTGCGCTTGCGGGTCGCCGGGTCGTCGTCGGAGACGGCGGAGGTGGAGAAGGACGCGGCGGCGGGCGCGGGGGTGCTAGCGGCGGCGGAGGTGGGGATCTTGAGGGTCCCGTTGACCGACGTGGCGATGGCGGGGACGGTGCCAGTGCCGGTGGCGGCGATGATGGCGGGCTCGGCCTGCTCGAGCAGCCAGCGGATGGTCTCGCCGTCGGACTTGTGGCCGAGTTCGCGGGTCAGCTGGAAGACCCTGGCGGCGCAGGTCGCCGGCATCCGTATCCTCCGGCCGCGCCCCTCCACCTTGGTGTGGCGGTCCTTGGTGGAGGAACGCTTCATCGTCGGAGGGGGAAGCGGCGGGGGAATATTTCCTCCAGAGTGCGCTAGCTTGCTGTCTGCCGAGTCCGGCTGCTCTACCTTGAAGGATACGGCGGCCGGAGCTGCTATTCGAAGCGGTGGCCGAGGATACGTATCTGAGATCCTGACGTCTCCTGGGAAATCTGGGTTGTATTTTGGTGAGGCCATAAAAAAAAAATGAAATAAAAAATATATGAAAAACGATTTTTTTACAAGGATTTGAAAATAAATATGAAAATAGAAAGGCGTGATGATGAAAAGGAGCAAAACTAGTAGCAAACTGCAAAAGGAATGAGCCAAGCCATGGGAGATATAAATAGTGATACTAAATTCATGATCAATATAAAAATAATAAATGGTTTATTTATTTATTAAGTTGAAAATAAAACTGTGTTTTTTGATGTGGAAATCTAACGGTTGTTAGCCAACCATATACATCAGTGGCCAACGTGTAGAAAATATTGGAGGGGTCCACCTTATATTTTTCCATGTTTTCTCCATTTATTAGTAATATTTTTTTAAAAAATATTAGAGAAACGAAATTTTTTATGCACACTCTGTTGATGTTAAACTGAGTTCTATTTTTATGTTTATATTTAGAATTAGAGCTGATAATAGTTCGTGAGATCATCTCAGCTCAACTCATTAAGAACTGAAAATAAAATTAATTTTCAATGTAATTTGTTACTTAATGGGTGGAGCTAATAAAGCCTAAACCCATGGCTCCACCAATTTACACCCTATTTATAACAGGCTTGACATTTAGTTATAAAACAAGGTTACATTTTTCATAATTAAAAAACAATGTTAATTGAAGTTTTCATAATAATTATTAGTTATTATAATACTTAAGTGGATAATTACAACCACTTTTACAATCCTTTCAATCGCATATCAATAATATAAAGACTTTGATTTTATATACACTTTGAATAATAGTTACAGCCATGATACCGAAATTTGGAGTTCCAACTTTTTTATTGTGCTTATTGATTGGAGACTAGTTATGCAATCTCTTTATTTTAATGTATCTTTTTTATTGGAGGCTAATTATACAACCCTTTAAGATTTGATTAAGATTTTGTTTAGTTTTCTTCTTCTTCTTTTTTTTTTCTTTTTTCTTTTTTTTTTGTTTTTTGGTTTGGCTTGGCTTCCAATTGGCAATACAAACTTCGAAACATGTTAAAAGAAATAAATCATTTGTAACCTCACATAAGATGGTTTGGTAAACGAGTTCATATCGAGTTCGTTTAGTTAAGAGTCACAACTCAGTAAGGCTCAAGATTATGAGTTTTTACGTAATATTATAAATTCTTACTTTATTTTACTCGTTAAAACTAGAATTCGATTCGTTAATATTGATGAATTAACCGAGTTTGGCCTGGATCATTAAAACTAGATTATGAGTTTTTACGTATATATTTGAAAGTACATTGATAGTTACGATTGAAACATATAATTTTATTTATCCAATTGAGGAATTTACCAACATATGCGGATTTAATTTGGATTTCTAAAGGAATCAAAATTCTATAGTCCTATGCCTATGCACAAATGTGAACTTTAATTGGCCTAACTCAAGTCAACCGTCAATTAAATATTGCCTTTTACCTGTACTGCAGACGTATTTGAACTAGTCTCATAATTTCTCGCTACATCCTATAAATCAAATTGAGTTCTTTATAAAAATAAAATGGTACCAAGCTCGAAATTTTGAATGACATTATCTTTTTATGCACTAAGCTTAAGTAAATTTTTTTAATAATATATGATTGAATTTTCACCATCATTTATTCGTAATCTTGCACAATACACTGATACAGTTTAGCTACATGTTAGATCAATTGCCCCATCATATTTTTGTTAGAGTAGGATACTCGGCGTTCCAATCAGATTGGACGTATTCTACTTATAAATACAATCTATTGGAATTATATTAATTAAAAGGCATTACTTTATCTTAAGAGTAAGCATTTATCCTATATTTGCACTTAAGATAAAATCCCTAGATCACATATAGCTATAAGGTATGGTTGCGCATAGAGATGGTGATCATGGAACATATCTTGAAAGCTGTGATCTTAAATAAAGTTCCAAGTCGATGGATGTTTCGAGAAGGGATATCGAATAATCCATAAAAGACTTGTACATAGTATGTATGCTTATTTGACAAGAATGTTGCATTCCATCAACATTAGCGTGGGACGCAAGTACATATATGTGGGTGCTTGTTAGAGAACAAGTTCACTGAACATGACCCTATGAAAATTCTTAATGAAGAATTATTTTAGTTAATAATCTGTCGAATAAGAATTTTCATGTTACAATAGTACATGACTAATCCTTAGACTTGAGGCACAATGGTAACTTTGTGCATATTACGTTCTACTTTGATTTATCCTTTTGGTTGCTAGCACAATCGTATAAAAGGATATTTTGGGTATTATGTTAATATGTATGGAAGTTTGTTAGTGGCCAACAAAGGATTCGACACGTATGAAGATACGAGAATTTCCTATGTGTTTCATAGTTAGTAATTCAAAGTCCTTGGCCAAGGCGGGATGAATAGAGATTCATACATGAATTACTAAACATGAAATAGAATCATAGTTATTAAATCAATTTGGGTTTCGACTAAAATCATACCCAAGATTTAATCGGGAAATTAGATGTCGAAAAGATTTTACATGTATGGACTTGTAATTGAAATAGGTTTACTCGCTATTCACTTAATACTAGATTCATGCTACTTGCTAGATGTTCCCATGATATGTGGGTTCTTGAATTAAGAAGTTAATTCATGAATAAGAGTTAATAAGATTAACTCAAATTACAAAGAGTTGTAAACCCACTACTACTATTAATTGTGAACCTAAAAGGTCACACCAATTTTTGAATGAAGGTGAAATTCAAATAGTAATTCTAAAGAGTTAGAATTAATTGACAAATCTAATTTGATTAGATGTTAATTAAAGGAATATATTAAATTAATCAATTGGATTGATTAATTGAATTTTGGATATTAATTTAGTAATTAATGGAATTACTAATTAATATTTGGAATTTAAAATTAGATTTTAAATTTCAAATCCAAATAATAATATGATTATTAAATGAGGAAATGGAATAAAGGATTAAAATAATAATGTCTTGAAAGATGCTTTCAAGAATTATTATTTTATTAAATATCTTTAATATGATTAAAGATTAAATATTAATAAGAATAAATTAATTATGGTAGTTATGAGATGCTAACTACTTAACATATATAATCTTATTCTTATTAATTGAATATTGGATGGGGAATAGTCTTATTCAAGACTTAATATTTTATGAAAATATTCTTGAAGACTTTTTATATTTTATGAAAATATTCTACCCAATATTATTATTTTATACTAAAATGTTTAGTATAAATATGGACATACTTGATGTTCATTTTAATCTTAAGATTTGATTTTAATGAATTCCATATAAGTTTTCAAAGAGTTGAAAAAGAGAGAACTAAGAAATGTTCTAAGTTCTTAAGAAGAAAATTCAAGTGTTGAATAATCTCTCAAAATACAAGAAAGAGTTCTTGTAAATCTTATCATAAATATATTGATATTTAAGTTAAGTTTAAAAGGAGTTTTAAACTTAGTCTTAAGATAAGATTTGATATTAAGATTTGATCTTAATTTTTCAAAGAGTTGAAAAAGAGAGAAAAGAAGAAGTGTTCTTCAAAATCTTCAAACTACAAGAAGGAGTTCTTGTAAAAATTTCCTCATAAATATATTACAAACTAATTGAATAAAACCGATTAGTTTCTACTAGCGAAGGAACTAGTTCGGAACCGGACTTCAAAAGGTGGATACGTTTAGAGGGAAGACAAGTGGATTCCTAAACGAGTAAACACAAAGTGTTGCTGTTATCAAACCGGGAATCGATTCCCTCATTCATCGACAATTTTGAAGGAGTTCAAGATTAAGGTAAATTTAGAATTTACTTACAACAAATCAAAATATGTATTATTACATGTTATTAAAGATGAAGATCTTTTAATTCGCCATATGTATGTACGAGTAAAGTATTTAAAGGTTAAATACTTGTTTTGAAAAATTTTAAATTCCGCTGCTTATAGCTCGTACGGTACAGGCGAACCCAACAATTTTTTCAATAAAAGCATATAGGTCTCTCTCACAACAGCTTTTAGTAATTAATAAGTATCTGCATTTAGCTTAAGGAAAAGAA